CTGCTAAAATGAAGTGCTCTTTAATCAGATGAGCCTATATCATGCTATTCCCATTAGAGACATGAGCTGCACTGATCTCTTCACAACTGCTATACCGTTAATCCAGATGAACTAGAACACTTGATGAAGTTACAGCAGAGTGTAACTTCCACACCAGCTTTATCTAATCTCCTTAACTAGAGTCCAGTACTTTCCAGCATTATAAATGCCAAGCACTATAATTTAAGCATATTCAACTGCATAAGAAAGAGTGGTGCAATTTCAGACTTTTTTTTTTTTATGCAAAATTGCTGAACTTGTAATGCTGAATTTAGCCCACTGGCAAACTGTAGTACATTTTCAACCATTCTATGTCTAAGGAAAATATATATATATATGCATAAAAAAATAAATTATAAGAATAGAGCCATTCTTGTTGTATTAACAGACACAGTGAAAAAACAGGAACACAAATGAAGGATATAGACTATAGTTATTTCTTTTCTTTTTGGGGGGGGGGGGGTGGGGGGTGCACACCAAAAAGGGAGTGTTGCATCCCTAAAAAGAGGCTAGGGGATGAGTTGAGTAACAAAAAATAAAATAAAAAAGAATTTTCAAACATGAGTTTTTTGTTTTTTGGGGGTTTTTTTAAAGAAAAGAAAGAAAGCTATTGAAAGAGGACACTAGCTACTTACCAGTAGGTCAAGCACACCACTAAACTGACAAATACTGTTAAAGCACACAATCCTCTGCCATCCAAGAAACACAGCTATTCACTAGCAGTTCTAGCCTGTCCACACCACACCACTGAAACTGGCCTAGACTGAGACTGAGTAGCGCTACACCTGCTTTTATACTGTGGTGAGGCTCATTCCTGAGTAGAGACAGCTGTGCACTGGCACCTCAAGAGAAATGGGTGGCAGTTAAATGTGTGGGGCAAACAGGACATACCCACACAACATGCGGGCTGTAACAGTGAGCTTAAACTGCAGAAGTCTATGTGGTAGATGCAGGTGGAAAGAAAGATTTCTCCAAGTGGAAAAAATGTATACAAGCATCTTTTTGCAACTGTGGACATACAAGTTTGAATTATCACCTTAAAAGATAATAACATCTCTGACACACTGTCCTCCTTTTCCTTTTGTTTGGCAGCATTAAGTGGAAATACAGTTTGACACGGTAAAAAGAGTCTTCTGTGGTCATTTGCAACAGGTATAAATACTCATTCTGTTGCGCCTGGTCAACACTTGGTGTGACACAGTTTGCTTCAAGCCTAATGACGTCTTTATCCTTCTAAGCTACAGTGCTTGAACTGTTCTTCATAACATTTAATCATCTGACTCTATAAAAACACCATGGTTCCACCTCTGAAGGAAAAAAAATAAACAGCTGATGCTACATTTCATGTTCAGACAAACAAGTTAAAATGTTTTTTTCATCTGGTACATTTGAACATTGATGGATAACACTAGTGACCTAATTTCTACTAGTTGAAATGCAAAATGTAATTGTGTGGCATGCTAACAAGCGTGCATCACCCTTCATTTTAAAAAGTAGAAAATAGAGCCTTGCTGAAAAATTACTTGGCTGATATTATTAGTCAGTATTGTCATATGTTGGGTTATGTATATTATCTTAATAATAATATATATATAATTAATATTATACATAATGACCATGTCCCAAGGTATAAAAACAACATTTTTTAGAATATGAAGCAAGAATATATGATCAGTGTATTTGAGAAATGGCGTCATCACATAGTTTGCACTACAATAAATGAGTCTCAACAAGTGATGGTATACAGGCTTAAAGCTTTATGTTTCTAACGATGTGATGGGAAATCAAAACGTTGTTGAAGATTCTTGCCTATCTACAGACCAAACTTAGTTTCATTTGACTGAAATAGATTCATTCTCAGAATATCTGAGGAAGCTCACACAGTTCTCACTTCACTAACTTCACTAACTTCACTTCACTAACTTTCTGAAATAACGCAAAAAAAAAGTGTGTTTCCCTTTATTTGCAATAATTTCTTACTGATGATAAAGTCTTTCTTTCTAATTCATTCAATTTCTGTTAAAAAACAACAACAACATTAAACCAAAATATCTACACAGACTTACAACTCGTGGCTGTCAAACTGCTGAATTTGTACTATACTACTTACTTTAACCGATTCATTTAAAGCTTCCAGACATCACCACTATCGAGTTCTATGACTTAATATGGAAAAAGAGAAAACAACCCTAAACTAAGCCTAGATTGAACCTGGCATCAGAGCTCTTACTTAAAAATCAGTTATGTACTACAGGTCACAGTATAATGTTAAACTTTTGAAAACATAGCCAAATAACAACCCAAATTTTTGTCCTATAGAGGACATACACATGATCTCTAATCTTTCCCTATCAAAAGCTACAGGTCACATTGATATTTTTCTTCTATCTCCTACATACACCAAGGCTGTTGTACAAGAACTTATGAAAAAATACTTTTGGTTATTTTTTATTATCCACTTATCCTGATTAAAGTCAGTGACATAATTGTTTGTTAACTATATCCAAATTGGTGAATTTAGGAACAGTAATGACTATCATGTGATTGCAGAAAAGTATTAGTTTGTAATGTGTTACCTCCATCAGTAATTGATGAACCATCTACGAGACTAACTTTTTATTGCTGGACAACAGGAAAACTTGATCCATAATCATACTGTATATTAACCAAAGATGTATGTGTGACATTCTGGCTGTAGCAAACAAGGGAGTGACAACAACCACTGATAGTTGAGTGTAATGAGCTAAAGAAGTAGAAATTCTTTCTCCGAAGTTGATGTATACAGACAGAGCTTTAATGGACTGAAAAGGCTATCAATGTTACTTTAATCAATAATAATTTCCCTATAACTCTGCTGAGCAATTTAAATATGACTCAGGTTTAAAAACTTTATAAAGTCAGCAACCATGATTTCCTATGTTCCAATGTTCATCCTAGTTTTGAATGATAAAAAACTGATAGCGACTTCCTTTTATTCAAAGCTTTTGCTGAAAATTCAAAATGCTAACTCTGATTGGCTTATTCCATTGAAGCTAGTAAAGGGTTCTAGGTGTTCAGTAAAATTGTGAAGAAATGTTTCCACAGATCAATGTTTGCTTCAAAGTTCAAACAGAATAATAAGTCATGAATGTTTTGAACCTGCATTGTAACCACCTTCTTGTCTTTTTTTTTAGCCTAAATTTACCTTGGATTACAACGCCATGCAGAAATGGCTTACACTACCCCTGTTGCTTGTTACATTCCTGTTGAGTAGAACAAGTGATACAAACTACACTAACAAAGCAACAGCATGAAAATAGTGTGTAGCACCAGTAATGTTTAAAAATTTGCAAGATCCCTTTAAGGTGGGAATGTAAGTTTGTGCATGCTTTACAGCAAGCTGCACTTTGAAAACTCTTGTATTAAAGGATAATGTCTCTCAAATTCAGTGTCAATATGAAAAACCTCTGTCTTTGTAATGTAACAACCTGTCTAACAACCTGTGGAAGACTGAAGTTAAGCATAATTTTAAAATGACAGAGAAAGCGGTGCTCCTCGCACTCCAAATACAATCCTTTAACTCAGCTACTGAGAGAAGATTATTTTTCCTTCAACCAACGTGTCCGTTTTATACAGGTATTAGCCATGCAGCACAGTTGCTACAAACATGCTAATAATGTATGTCAAAATTTTCTGAAAAGAACTGAACACATAGCTTGGGTATATCCTAACTTTTGGTTTAGGCAAATTAAAAGGATATCCCTACCCTTCTTAAGTTTGGAGAAATAGGTCAAACTATGACACAATCAATAAAACCATTCTGATAAATCCATTCACAAAAATTTGTCAGGCTAATTTTACTGGTGAAATAAAAATAATACCCCCATAATGCTTATAACTAGTAATCCAAAACGCCTTGCAAAGCATGCAGGGAACATAGTGAACATTTATCTTCACAGTGTAGCCTGCTCATTGCTGGCAGAGCATTTGCACTTTATATATTTAGTTATCTCTTCATTTGGATTACATTCCTGTCCCCTGTCCAGCACTTGCAAACTCCGTTTAACAGCTCAGACATCAATACTTTGCAATGTGTTTATGTGTTATGCACAGTCTCGTATTCCTGTGGGGATGAGATTAAGTATGTGCCACTCACAAGTGATTTCTTGGTATTTTGTTAACATAGTATCTTAATTATTTTCCCACTAGGACTTAAAGTCTGTTGATGGCGCACACAAAGACTCAGTGGTGAGTTTATGGAGACCTTATCACTTAATGGTATTTGTTTCAATCTCATGAGACATCACAATAACATTCTTACAGGCCCTAAACGCCTGTCTGCAGTGCTCAATAGGCTATAGTGAGTTTTCAGTGAGCTTATCGCACTTTATTGCATCTTTATGTCCTGTAACAGGGGTTTGTTCGACTGGTCTAAGTAGTCTCAAAAAGGGCAGCCTGATATCTCAACACACAACATGACCATTACGTAACGCAATTTACGGAATACCCCACGGGCCAATTAACGGATAACGATATTTTGTAACAATTTCAGTAATCTGCCAGCCTTGCATAACGGCAGGGCCTGGCTGCGAGAACAGATGCGCAGGCTGGCATATTGCTAATGGATTGTAAACACGGGCTGCCTATAGGCCTCGGCTGCCTCAGATATTATTCTGGTGGAGAAGAGCCACCTTCTCTCCCCGCCACCTGCAGAATGCGCAAGTCTATAACAGCCCACTGCAGCCCCGTGGCCTCTTGATTTATTGCACTGCACAAAACAGATAGCAGTGGGCTTTAGCTGAAATCATTATATATTTATGCAGTGGCAGCAGAAAAGCAGTCTGCCGTAGAAAAGACACATAAAAATTATGCATAGTGGCCTTGAAATAAATAACAAACGGCGGCAGCCCCCCACCCCCCCGTATTGATTTGAATGTAGATGCACAGCAGAAATCCGATGATTCCGCTCAAAGGGTGCTTACCTCAAGCGTTCGTATCTCTTTTTGTGTCAAGTCGTTGGATGTGGCACATTTGGTCCGTAAACCCTCCAAACTAGAAATGCTTATGTCTATCATATTTTGCACCAACTCGCACTGCTGCAAGGCTTTCTGCAAACTAAGATGCTGCTCCTCGCTTTTTGTCATCTCCTCGTTCATAGTTTTGTGAACAGTGGACGTTATTTTTCCGTTGCACTTAACAAAAAAGGAATGAATTAATTCAAAAACAAGGGAGTAAAAATATTGATGATTATTCAGGAAAAGAGCGTGGTGAAACCCACGGAACGGAGCAACCTGCAAAACGCCATGAAACGAGATGTTGAAGGTTTAGAGACGGGCTTTGAGCCGTGAGAGAATCGACTCCATTGCAACAACAGTCCTCGTAGTTCCTGCTGTTTCATCAAGGTGTCTCTGGTTGTGGGCTAAATCAAACACAGTATGAAGATACCAAGCGGGACTACGCGGTCTGCATCCATTGGGTTCCACTTCTTTCAAATGTATGTTTGGGGGGGGAAAAAAGAAAAGAACAAGAAGAAGCTGTTCAGCGCACCATAAGTAGACGCATCGGGGAAAAGCCTGCTGGTTTTAAAGGTGCTGATGTGCGGACTGGATGCAGGTACTCCCTGTCTCCCTAGGCAGCAGCTGCATCCCGGTTCTCTCCCACCACACCGACATGTTTCCTGTCAATCAAACCCACAGCAACAGCATCGCATCGCCCAGGCACCACCGTGAGGGGCCGTTCTCGCGAGATTACAGAGCAGAGTAGAGAGCTTACTATGCTTGAAACGCCAGGCTAGAGTTAGAGACAAAACTATCCCTTTTTACATGTTTGAAACAAAGATGTCCTTTTACTGAATATGTATGATATCTATTAGTTTACTACAGGCTCATGCTGTGTGCACACGTATATAGCCTGCAGTCCACAGCCACACACACCCCTTCAAAATATTTCTAGAGAATGATTTAAATATGCTTTAAAGTTAAATGGAAAAACAAATATTATTTTCCACTGATTCATGTGAGACATTTAATTTTGGCCTAGTGAGACAACTCTGTACTATGCCTGTTGATGTTTGTATGTGAGTAGAATCTTCTGTTTTTTATTGTGTGCCTTATCTCATTTCTTCTTCCTCTGTGCTCAGGTTTAATTTGCAGAAGAGATCTTGATCACAGTGAGGCTCCTCAGTTAGAATATAGGTTATAACGCAGACATTACAAATAGAAACTGGATTGTTCAAAAACAGCAGTTGCAGGGAAAAAAAATAAACCAAACATTAAGGATTGAATGCTGTCAAAATGCAGGCTGTGATATTAAATTGTTATCCTTGACTGATGCAGTATAATGCAGCCTGGGAATCAAGATGCTTTGGAGGTTGCCAGCAACAAATCTGAGAAGTCAAGCTGATTAAAGAGATAGGAGATGGTAAACAAAATCTTGTGTACTTTACTGCTCACAACTTTTTTTCACTAACCTATGATGATCAAGAAAATGTTTCAGAGAAACCTGTCGTGTAAAGTATAGGTTAGGTGATATTTCAAATTCAGGCTCTAGATAAATATATGGGCACACTGCACTTTTTTGACATATGGACAGATATGTGTATTTTATTGTCAGCACCATTACCAGAACAGAAAATAAATGCAAAAACATGTAGAAAACATTTGTGACACTCTTTGTCATGTGTTAAGATGCTTAAATATTAACACTTACAAAGATAAACTATAATGAGATTTAGATGTCAGTGTCGTATAAAAGTGAACAAACTACATCTAAGAAGGAAAGGTGTAGACTTTCTTTTTTTTTAATTTAACAAGACGTTTAGTGACACGTGACTTTTATTTAAAAAATCAAGATAGCCAGAACACTTTTTTTCTTTTATTTTGGTGATTAGGACTTTAAAGACTTGTAGTTCTTGCTGTTGGGAAAAAAACCTACTCCTGAGTTTGATTTTAATTTTCACTGATTAGGGAAAGGAATTGTTCAAAATGGGAGAGACAATATTTAAAAATGAAAGAGGAGATATATATCTTCGTTGTTATGATGTTTGATATTGTGTATTTTTTATTGTTACAATTTCTAAATCCCGTTATTATTATTTTTTTACAGCAGAGAACGAGTCACCGATACTCCGCCCATGAAAATGACAATGTGATTCCATTGGTTGTACGTGGTGACGTGTGACGTACGTTTTGTTTGCGGAGCGCGCCAAACAGGGCCATCAACAGTAGTAATCGCAGTGGCTTAAACTCTGGAACCCTTTTGCTCCGCTTGGCGTAATATTCATGCTTGGTAGGATACATGGCTTCTACAAGTAAAGCGCCGCTACAGACCAGAAATTTACCATGGTGAGCTGAAAGTCGCTGTTTATCACAGAATGGTTCAAAAAGTTATTGCTAGCTAGCTAACATGCCTACTGTCAAGCTAGCTGCTCGCTGCACTGAGTAGACTGATGCATTCTGTGAATTGCTAGCTTTATATACATATAATAAATGACGTTAGTTATTACGCATAGTTGTAACATGGAAGGAAATTAGCTTGTCTTCAGTTCGGCTTACGTAAATCTTATCAGTCCATCAAGCATTAACATGGTGCCACTTCAGCAACAGGTTAACCGAAAACCTGCAGCTTCTGACTGCGGTGAAAGTACTGTAAGGTTGACGTTTTGTTTATAATAAAGGGTGATGTTACGAAAAATATGGATGCGGAACTAAAAAGTGGCCATATGTAATGTGATATGTCAACGTTTGTCAGCGCTTATCATATGTGTCCGTAAACGTTTCAATAATTTTCTTTAAAATTCTTTCGAGGTTGCTTATTTGCCTTGCTGTAAACGCAGTAGTTATTGCAAGTATGAATGCGTGTGTGTGCGTTTTCCTGTTTCAGGGTTGAAAAATACAGACCACAGAGACTTGATGATCTGATTTCACACAAAGATATTCTGAGCACTAGTAAGTATGTGGACTGCCAGAATAACAATACTATAAAACTGTATAACATGACACTTATGGATAATCAAACTACTTTTAAAACGTAATAAACTGATAAACTCAATGCTATCTGCCAGTGTTTTTGACTCTTGAGCTTGTTTACTGTGGTTATACCGTCACTGTCATTAATGAGTCATGGTACTGAGTCAGCTGGCTTAAAACTTTTATGTTTCAAATTTATAGAACTATTCAAGGGGGGTGCATATGTGGATTGTTATAGAATTGTTGGTTACTTGTATTTAAACTGATTTTCATTTGTTCTTTTTATTTCCAGTCCAAAGGTTTATCAGTGAGGACAAGCTTCCACACCTTTTGTTCTATGGCCCACCTGGAACAGGAAAAACCTCAACCATACTCGCTTCTGCCAGGCAGCTGTACAAAGAGAAGGAGTTCAACTCTATGGTGTTGGAGGTATGTTACAACTCCTCATTAGAAGATTTGGGTTTGCTGAATTGTAAAGGTTTTTGAACTTGTAACTCTGCCATTTTACATTAAAATATAACTAATTTTGGTTTATAGCTCAATGCATCTGATGACAGAGGTATTGATGTAGTACGAGGTCCCATTCTGAGTTTTGCCAGCACCAGGACCATCTTCAAGTAAGACTAAAACACTTGTAGAGATTTTGACCAGAAATAAGTGTTCTCAATACTTTTATGTGCAGTTAAGAAGTGCAATGGAAATGTAAGCTGCTGCCTTTGCTTTTTTTTATATATCTTGTCCTTCAGGAAGGGCTTCAAGTTGGTGATACTGGACGAGGCCGATGCCATGACCCAGGATGCCCAGAATGCATTGCGTCGAGGTAAGCCATCTGTTCGTTCAGGCATTACCCACTGTGAGGCACACGGCTCAGTGAGCAGGCAATTTGGCTGCTGCTGACTTACAGTGTATCTACTTTTAAACCTGGATATTTATTTAAAAAGCTTTACTTTGCAGAAGAGTGGAAATAATTATTGAATTTAACTGTGAGATATTTTGTAAATTTAGTCCAACCTGTGTTTTTCTAATAATGTTTCCATATTTCATTTATAAAGCATCTATTGCTGCTCAGTGCCGTTTTATATTTCTAAATAGATGCATGATGAAGGAAGAGTGGATGATATTGTCTGTCTGTCAATTCTAAATTCTCAGTGAGGTGGTTTACGAGTGTCCTGCACAATCTTAGCAACATTAAGCAAGTCCTTAGGATAGATTATTCAAAAAAGTGGAGTTTTTGTATTTACTAAGATGTTGCCAGAATTTACATTTTAAACTTGTTTCCCTGCTTTCATCCCACCCTTGCTCTCTGTCTCAGTCATTGAGAAGTTCACAGAAAACACTCGATTCTGTCTCATTTGCAACTACCTTTCCAAGATCATCCCCGCCCTGCAATCTCGCTGCACCAGGTTCCGCTTTGGTCCGCTTTCGCCAGACCAGATGATCCCTCGGTTGGAGCACGTTATCCAGCAGGAGAAGTGAGTTAATGTGTGAATGCTTTCTCTCCACTTACTGTTGTTGTTGTTTTTTTACATCTCATTGAATTATTCCCAGAATTGCTAATGAACTTGCCACATGTATTTGTACCTGTTGGCCTCCCTGGGCTCCGCCAATCTGCGTATAGTGAGAGAAATAATTATTTGATCCCCTGCTGAATTTATAATTTTGTTCATTTCCTTGTAAGTGAGCATTCTCTAATTTTTATGGTAGTTTAATTTTAATAGAGACAAACATAATACCAACCACATTAAAGATTGTTTGAAATCCAGAGTCTTTGTTCTTATGTTACGTTTCTGTTGGGTAATGTTTAGAAGTTTAGGGCTTCTCTGTGTGTGTGTTTGAAAACAGTTTAAATCGGGGTGCAACATCAACCCTGGCCTCTCAACTGTACCAGGCCCTGAAAAACCAACAAATACCACAATAGGAAATGAATTTTCTCATTGTTTCACATTTATTGCTACATGCAACCTGAGATGGAAGAAATTAATGAATGGACTTGGAATTCTTTTTGATCGCTCTAGTTATTAAATGTCATCAGTTATGTGTTCACGTCGCAAGTTTTAATTTAACTTTGATATGATTTAAAAATAGTTGATTATGTCATTACTTTTTGTGACAGTATTGACATCACGCCAGATGGAATGAAGGCTATCGTGACCTTATCAACAGGTGACATGAGAAGATCGCTCAACATACTGCAGGTATGGCCAGAAGTTCATCATCAGCGTTGTTTAAGATGTGGATGTCATATTCAGTGTGGCCGTTTTTAAACAGCGAAAATATAGCCACTGGCCACTTCATTAGTTGCGTCCCCCCTTTTGCCTTCAGAGCTGCCTTATTTCTTTGTACCATTCCGTTGAGGTGTTGATCCATATTGAGATGATTGAATCACACAGTTGCTTCAGATTTTTCTGCTCCACATTCAGGATGTAAATCTCCACTACATTTCACATCCAATATATCCCAAAGGTGCTCTATTGGATTGAGATTTGGTGAGTGTGGAGGCCATTTAGGTACAATAAATTTATTGTCATGTTCAAGAAACCAGTCTGAGATGATTTTTAGCTTTGTGACACAGATTGTACCAAGAAAATATCTCCCACACATTACACCATCGTCAGCCTGAACTGTTGATACAAAGCAGAATAAATCCATGCTTTCAATTTGTTCAAGCCAGATTCTGACCCTGTCATCACAGTGTTACAGCACAAATTGCTTTCCGTTAAGCTGCA